ATTACCCTTGGGGATACTACTTGTGCCTTTACCATGTCCCCAATTACAATTCTTTGGGATAGAGATAGAGGTTTCTGTATATCCCTTTCCTTATTTAATTGTGCTTGCTGAGACTAATGGGAGTCTACTTCTTCGCTACCAAACTAATCAGACTTATTCCGGTCGTCCTCCTTAGGAAGTACAGTAGTAATGTCGACATCCGTGATGACGTGTGCTCCGATGATTGGTTTAACCCTGGAGGAAGGTAGGACTACTCCTTTTTAAAATCAGGTGTATGACAGACGCAATCTTGCTCTTGATAAACGCGCATCCTTATGCCGAAACGCGCATCGAGGCTTTTGTGCCCATGTACTTTCTTTGATTTGTTTTTATAGTGCACTTTCCAGGAATGAGGGATTATGTAGGTATCTCTGTACTTTGTTCCCTGAGACTAATGCAGGTAGACTGTAGTTGGGGAGCTGCCTCAACGCGGGTTGATAGGGGATTGTAGATATAGGAGATCAAGGGGAGTACACATACTCTAGTTTATGTTTACATAAGTAGATTCCCTCCCTCTTATTTTCTCACATACTGGGTATCCAGTTAATATCAGGTAAGCTGCCTCGTAGCAGCAGTTTAGGAGGAATATCTTCTTATAAAATAATGAGGTCTGGGTCAACTCTGTTGTGCCTCTCCGTGATGTGTCCACTGTGGTCAGATTAATAACTCTCATAACTTTAGCATACTCCTTTGATGTAACATTTCTTACTTTCTGACTATATGTGTGTAACAGATGCCCTGTTCCTGGAGTTTATTTTTATTTCATTTCTGGACCTTATTTGTATTCAATTTGTCTGAATCAGTATACAAACCAAAACAAACAGACTTTACCCTAGCTGGGTCGTATACTGAACTCCTGAACCACTCGAAGCAGTCGTGTGCCACCAATTGACCTTATTGACACTGCTCTAAACCGCAACTCTGAAAATTCTAAGTGGTTCACTGGGTGGCTGTCAATTCGTATGCACGAATACATGGCGGTGGCCAGCTTGTTTTGTCGAATGTATCCAGCGATGTTTGGTCGTCAAGTGTATGGAACTATTTTCGGACACTCAACGTCCTGAACACCGCTGAGACATCCAGGACCACTTAGTTTCATCCCAATCCATCCGGTGAAAACCAGCACGACCGGCCACACAAGCTGATTTTATTAAACTATTCTGGGCCCTGAACCGTTTTGGGTGATTTTTGGATATATTACTCACCCAGATCAGTGCTATCAGGGGATATACTTTTTATGGGGTTCTTGTGTGCTTTTGGGGTATTACCAGAAAGTGTATAAAATATGTTCTTTTTCGACTTATAGATAATTGAGTTGATACAATAATTAACTCTATCTCCCAAGCAGAGGGGAGGGATTGTATGCCATGTGTGGGAGTGCCTTGGATTGTAGCTCTATTGTTATTGGTGTATACATTTGTGTCCCTGTCCCCAACAAGGTCCATGTGGGTGTCACCCTTGCATGGGAACTTGCATAATAGGCCAGTGTGGCTACCATTAAACCATTCCTGCTTAACCCTCAACATGAAGCCTCGTCTCGTGATTGTAGGGAACGGCTATACAGCTATACCACTAGCTCTTGTAAGAGCTTCATAGCTTTATTGGATCCTTGGCTGGCTGAGATATCAAGTGGAGAATGCTACAGCACTGCTCCTACGAAGGGAAAAGGACGTCTCTGGCGGCATATACCCCTTCACTCTCGGGGTGGCCCTTACAATGTGTCTCTTTGCTACTACAAAGATACTGTTGCAATATAGGGATACAGACTCGGTATGCTGAGGTTAACATTTTTATTATACGTTCAGGCAGACATCTAATCCGGTTTTATTTTTTTATTGTCTCACCACACACTATCTTGTTTGTTTTTATGTATATAGTTGTCTCGTTCTCTACTAAGGATATCAAAAAAGTTGCTTTTTTTTGTTGCGATTACCTTTGATTGTAGTTAGTTGTAGTAATTTCTTGTCAGGATTACTGTTGATCCAGCACACAGAATTGTATCACACCTAGGACTAAGGATAATGTCTAACCAGACCTTAGAATGGCCTTACTTAACGTACCACAGAATAGTCAAAATACTTGCCGAGGTCAGGGTCACAGAACGAAGAACAGTGATAAGGAAAAGCCAAAAGTCAAGGCTACCAGAAATTCAGGGAAGTCAGAACGAAGCCAAAGTCAAAAATCAGATATACACGATCAGAAACACACTCTAGGATAACCATCAAAGGGAAACCATGACAGGGCACTGACAGCAAGGTAATTTGGGTTTAAATACCTCTCCTTTGGCTGTAATTGGCTGTCTCCGACCTCTGTCCGCAAAACATGCGTGCGTGTCTATGACGTTGCACGCACATTGGCGCTATCTTTGGTGTGGGCGAAGGTAAGTTTACTACAAAAATCTGAACCGCAGCAGTCGGCGCTCCAAAGAGCGTCGCACCTGCTGGGGACCAGACCAGAGGGAGATCGGGCAGTGGTCTGCTGCGAGCAAGGTAAGTATGAATTGTTTCTGTTGGCGTCGTTGCTTACTTTATGTGCAAGCATGCCAGCAGAATCACTGGGAGCCGTGACCCTTCTCTCATTAGTCTTTATACACTGTCAGAGTCATTTAGACGAAAGGGCTATAAGCAGGGACGGACTGGCCCACCGGGATACCGGGAAATTTCCCGGTGGGCCGGAAGCACCTGGGGCTGGGCTGACAGCCCTAATCATTGCTCAGGCTCCTGTGATCCCGGCCGGCCATGTGCGAGCTGTGCGGCTGCACAGGGCCCCATGGGAGCAGAGGGAGCCAGACAGACGGCACAGCTCACACATGGCTTGTCGGGATCATAAAAAAATAAATAAATAAATTGTGGCGGGGCGAAGCTAGCGTGCGGTGGGGCGGGGCTTATCGTGCGGTGGGGGCAGGGCTTAGCGTGCGGCAGGGAGCCTGGTTAATGCAGCATGGGAAGCAGGAAGGAGTCCCTGCTTCCCCAACAACCAGCTTCCAGGAGCTCCAAGGGATGTGGAGGTAAGAAGCAGGTCAGTGTGTCTGTGTGTGACTGCCTGTGAGTGTGTGACTGTGTGACTGTCTGTGTGTGTGACTGTCTGCCTCTGTGTGTATGGATGACTGTGTGCCTGTGTATGACACTGTCTGTGTGTGTGACTGTCTGATTCTGTATGACTGTCTGATTTGTGTGTGTGTGTGTGTGACTGTCTGCCTCTGTGTGTATGTATGACTGTCTGTCTGCCTGTGTGTGTGACACTGTCTGTGTGTGTGTGACTGTCTGCCTTTGTGTGTGTGTGTGTGTGTGTGTGTGACTGTCTGCCTCTGTGTGTATGTATGACTGTCTGCCTGTGTGTGACACTGTCTGTGTGTGTGTGACTGTCTGCCTCTGTGTGTATGTATGACTGTCTGCCTTTTTGTGTGTGTGCGTGTGACTGTCTGCCACTGTGTGTATGTATGACTGTGTGTGTGTGTGGCACTGTCTGTGTGTGTGGGACTGTCTGCCACTGTGTGTATGTATGACTGTCTGCCTGTGTGTTTGTGACACTGTCTGTGTTTGTGTGACTGTCTGCCACTGTGTGTGTGTGTGACGTTGTGTGTGAGTGACTGTCTGCCTTTGTGTGTATGTATGACTGTATGCCTGTGTGTGTGGGTGTGTGGGTGTGAGTGTGTGGCTATCTGCCTGTGTGTGTATGACTATCTGCCTGTTTAAGTGTGTGGCTGTCTGTGTGTGTTTGACTGTCTGCCTGTGTGTGTGTGGCTTTTGGTGTGTGTGTGGATGTCTACCTGTCTCTCTGTGTGTGGATGTCTGCCTCTGTGTGCGTGTGTGGGTGCCTGCCTCTGTGTGTGTGGATGTCTGCCTCTTTGTGTGTTGATGTCTGTGTGTGTGTGCATCTGCTAGTGAGTGAGTGAGCTTCTGTGTGTGTGTGTGTGCGCATATGCTAGTGAGTGAGCTTCTGTGTGTGTGCACCTGCTAGTGAGTTTGTGTGTGTGCCTGCTAGTGAGTGAGCTTGTATGTGTGTCAGTGAGCTTGTCTGTAGGGATCGTGTGTGTGTTAGTGAGCTTGTCTGTAGGGAGCATGGGTGTGTCTGCTCCTGTCTGTGGTGAGCATGTGTGTGCAGTGAGCTTGTCTGTAGTAAGCTTGTGTGTGTATCAGAGTTTGTCTATACTAAATTTCCGTGTGTACCAGTAACCTTGTCTGTGTGTGTCATTGAGATTGTCTGTCAATGAGCCTATTTGTGTGCATCAGTAAGATTCTCTGTGTCGGCATGTGAGTATGCTTTACTGTATAATTTAATTACCCTAAAAGGACTAATATTTTGAATTGAAAAAGAAATATTCCAATAATAAAAATAAATAAATAAATAAATATATATATATATATATATATATATATATATATACACACACATACATATACACTGGTGTATATATAGGTGTGTGTGTGTGTGTATATATGCTATGTAGTGTGTGTTATATAACACACACTACATAGCACAATGACTTATGGGGCTGCCATAGATTTTTTTCCAGGGCTGCTTCATGTCCCCAGTCCGGCCCTGGCTATAAGGAAAGGACAATATCTAAAAAAAAATTAAGCTGCCATAAAAATACCACGGGAATGGCTTCTACAATACAAAATAGGGATCGACCGATATTGATTTTTTAGAGCCGATACCGATACCGATAATCTGTTAACTTTCAGGCCGATAGTCGATAACTTGCCGATATTCTGTACATTTACCATTTTGAAAAAATAAACTATTTCTAAAAGGTAAATGCACAAAATATAAAAGCCACATGCACTGGATGCAGTGTGTTTAGACAGTGGAGCTGTGTATATTTGTGTAGTGTATATATAATGAATGCAGGGTGTGTTTGTGTAGTGTGTATAGTTAATGCAGTGACTGTAGTGTGTATATAATGATGCAGTGTTTGTAGTGTGTGTGTATATAATGCAGTGTGTGTAGTGTATATAATGCAGTGTGTGTGTGTATATAATGCAGTGTGTGTAGTGTGTGCATTAAACACACACACACACACACACACTACATTATATACACACACACACTAAATTATATAGACACACTACACTATATACACACTCTGCGTTATATACAGAGTGTGTAGTGTGTGTGTGTATATAATGCAGTGTGTGTGTGTTTTCCTGAAGGGATGTGATTTGGGTAAAATGGGGGGGGGGGCATTTTTTTTATTTTAATTTTTAATGTTTGTTTTATTTTATTTTTTAATATTTATGTTTATTTTAATTTTTAATATTTGTTTATTATAATTTTTAAAATTTATGCTTATTTTTAATAGTTATGTTTTATTATTTTTGTTGTCCCCCCTCCCTGCTTGTTACCTGGTCAGGGAGGGGGGATATGACAGTCCCTGGTGGTCCAGTGACATTGGCTGAGCTGGGGGGGTGGGGCGCAGGTAGCGTTTACTTACCTCCCCTGCAGCTCCTCCAGCTCCCAGTGTAAATCTCGCGGCCCTTAGTGCCTGACGGCCGCGGGTCTCGCGAGACTTACACTGGGAGCTGGAGGTGCTGCAGGGGAGGTAAGTAAACGCTACCTGCGGCCCCCCCCCCCAGGACCGCCGGGCTTGTAATGAGCCTGGCGGTCCTAGGAGGTATTATCGGCAATATCGGTATCTATATTGGTCGATACCGATATTGCCGAAAATACCGAATATCGACCGATTATATCGGTAAAACCGATAATCGGTCGATCCCTAATACAAAAAAAGGAAAACAAACAAGAATCCATGTGGTAGTTACATACAACCCAACCCTAGAAGGAGTACGTAAACTTATTAAAGAGCTACAATCATTAATTTCAGGGGACCTCACATTCACAGAAATATTTCCTGAACCCCCCCCCCCCATACTAGCATTCAAACAACCGCCTAACCTGAGACAGAGATTGGTGCACAGGAAATTGACCGCAGAACAGGAGCTCACACAGAATGGCACTGTACGATGGAACAAATCACTCTGCAAACTGTGTCAACATATATGTGGCCATAACACAGCCAAACGCAATAACAAATCATACAACATTAAGGGATTATATTCGTGCACATCTTCGAATGTGGTGTACATGATACAGTGTACAGTGTGTGACAAAGGCTGCTACATTGGAGAAACTGTCCTTAACCTGCATCTCAGAATGAATCTACAGACACTCAATCAAGAACCACAAGGAAAACAGATATTGTCCCACTGTTGGTCATCACTTCACCCAGACTGGTCACTCTATCTAAAACCTCAGGATTAAAGTTCTTAAAGGGAATTTTGAGATGAGAATGATCACACATTTCAACATCAGAAATGAAGGACTTAATGTAGACTCTGGCTTTCTGACACACTATCAAGACTTTGTATAGACACACATCTTAATGTCTTGTATAGTTCTTTTTCAATACTCACACGTCACCTTTATTTCATCAATGTGTGTGTGTGTGTGTGTGTGTGTGCGTCTGTGTATGCAGCTGTATATTTGAAGAAAGGTTAGCGCTAATAATAACTGTATGTAAAGATAAAATAAAGGCAGCAGCCTTATAGAGGGTCACCCTCTAACCCTCTACAGTAAGGATATATACAAAAACAAGAAACAAAGGCTGCGCCAAGAGAGTGATTAGAACAAGTCCAAATAAAATAATTCCAGATAAAATAATAAAATATTCAAATAGGAGAGTCCCAATAATAGGTGGTATTTCAACTGATATGATGTCTTCCTTAGCAGTGGTCGTCCGTCTCACGATATGAAAGACACAATGGGAGAGAGCCAATTGTGCAGAGTGTATAAATAGATAATATTTAAATAAAATATAAATTATACACTCACATTTCCATGAGCTAGGACCAGCTCTAGTATGATGGGCATACGGCGGATAACCCTCCGCTTATAGGGGTGCTTGTCCTCCTGGAGCATCCTGGTGTCCAAATTCTCAGGGAAAGAAAATAAAAACAGCCAATAGTGCTCTCTGGTGTAGTAGTATATAAAAAGGATAAAAATAAATAAAATATACTCACAAATGGAGTGCAGGTCAATCTGCACTCTATTATTCGCGTGGGTGGTATAATCCCCACTTTAGGATATGCCAGGAACAATAAATGAGGTTTAAAAGTAATAATAATTATAAAATTATTTATTAGTACAATATATTAAAACCAATAACGCGTTTCGCCGTGGAGGCTTTATCAAATTGGGATAGTATAGATACCTGGCAAATAAGGAGTATATATAGCTAGAACAGACAATTAAAATTGGCGCCAAAAATGATCAACCAATAAAAGTGATACAAAATATGGATAGAGAATATACATACAAAAGGTAAAAATTTATATAGATTATACATGTGTATAAATGTACAATGATATGTATGTACAAATATATGGAAAACGAGCATTATTTTATGTGAAAAAGAGAATTGAAATAAAACTTCCGGTTTCGGTTTCGTGCGAGTCACGTGACCCGCAATGTACCTTGGGGCATGTAGTGCCGGGCCACGTGACCGCCGATAGGTATATACATAGTCCGTGCGGCCACAACAAGAGAAGGCGGCTCGCACGGACCGGGGAGACAGAGGGGCGGGTTCGGATCATGTCACGTGACCCGCGGCGTCATGTATCTATAATACCCGCGGGCCACGTGACAGTGGCCGCAAGGGGTACTGGGAAATGTAGTCGGAGGCACGAAAGTAAATAGGAATAGATAATTAGCATAAAATGAGTATAATACAAATCGGTTTATGGTAGGAACAGGCATATTGAAATATGTAAAGTATATATAACATAAATATACATAAATTAATACATATAAACATAAAGTGGATACAAATCAAGAAAGAGGCATTAAATAATAAAATAATAAAATAATAAACCGATTTGTATGGGGGGCAGTGTGTGTGTATGGGGGC